CAGCTCTGGCTGTGTGTGGAAATCCTTATGAGCTTTGGAATCCTGCAGGACTGGGCCCACCTCACACCTGTGGATTGGGGACCTCTCTGGGCACCATGATGTGCTGAATGCGAAGATGATTCCGAGGCACAGAGAGGTTAAACACTTGTATAACACATTGTGAAGGAAAAGAGTTCAGGTCATGGAGGAAACTTTCTTCTCCTTAACCCCACATCATGGAAACAGAAAACAGGAATGATCAGGCTGAAGAATGGCTCACTTATATCCTACAATAAGTCCATTACCAAGGTGCCCATAGGGTGGGCCCTACAGCCTTCATGATGTTTGTTTAAAGTGGCTTAAAGTACTGTGCACAGGCCACCAGCTAATGCTCGGCTGTCCCGACTACCCGGCCTACGAGCCGCACACTCAGTGTCTGTGTCCTCACCCACGTCTCTGCTGATGTTCTCCACAGTTCTGTGCAGCCACTACAACTCGGCCCTGACCATGGCTGTCGTTGGAGCCATCCAGGTAAGTAAGTGGTGGGGCCTGCAGTGGACACTGAACTGGGGAACGGACCGTGATCCAAGCTGTGGTACGGAAGTGGAGCTTAATGTTGCTGTTGCTGCTGACAGAAATGGAGTGAGAATGGAGGTCGTGGTGTTTTCAGGTGGGTCTGGGTGGTCTCTTCTTATGACTTCTGATCCCCTAATGCATAAAACACTGGGGTCTTTTACATTTTAGAAAGAAAGGACAAAGTACTACTTTAATTTGGGATGAATGGGTGGGGATAATTTGGAGAAATGAAGTAGAAAGTGGAGGGAAAGATTCCAAATATCCACAATTACATTATAATCTGCAGTTTGGTTTTCTGGGGAACCTGCCCACTAGAAAAGGAGCCCAGAAGAACTGCTTTCAACCATGTGCAGGCTGTATTACAAAGCTAGATGTGACAGGGACTGTGTTGTGGATTAAAACCAGCACATATATTCTTTGTCTCCAGAACAGTGTTTTCTATTCTCCAGCACTCCTGGCCTGGCAGGAGCTGGCCTGGGTCAGCAGTGGCCCTGTCTGCTGGCTGTGGGGGCTGGTCTTCGTCTCCACCTGCTCAAGCTTAGGGCCGCTGTGGCAACTGCTCACTACCAGTGATGTGAGAAGACTCAACTGTGTGATCTTTAGCCTGAAAGAGGGAGACGAAGAATGTGTTTATTGTTCTTAATGCAGCATCTTTCTCAAGCCACACATTATAATTTTTATTCATTTATCCAACTTGTGGTGAACATCTTTGATTTACAAGTTACTATTCAAAGCAATCAAAATGTCTATGTTTAGGATTTGCCTTACGTATGGATTTCCCCTAAATCCTTCACGTGTAATGGCAAATTCCATTTTTTGCAGAACGT